AATTAAAAAATAAAAAAGTTTTATTAGTAGCATATATCAAATTTAGATGAAAATTTTAATATAACTATATAAAAATAATCTACATAACCTTACCTTTAAATGATACAAAAATTATCTTTATAATATGTTTAACTGTAAAAAATTTCTTAATAGGCTCCGGATATAGGATCGAGTGTTAACAACATTTCGTTTTAGTTTGCATTTTATACTTTAGAACAATATTCAATTGACTGATTTTTGTATAATTAAAATAAAAAAATCATAAACTCAATAAAAATATAATTTTTAACTGATTGTTATATTTATAAATTCGAATTTATAGATTTACTTATTTTTATCAAGCGGCGATTTTAAATTTTGATTATTTCAGATTTGCTCAATATAGAGCAGATTTAAACGAAAAATGAGAATATATTTTATATAGTTTATTTCAAACTAATGCCCCCAATCTTAAATTCCTATTTTTATATATTTTGTTTACCTTTATACTAAAATTTTCTGTATTACACACAAAAATAAGTAAAATCGAGAATTCTGTTATTGCCAGACCTTTTTTTTTTGTTTAATGCTGGCCAAACCTAACCTTAACTCCAGAGTAATTTAGTAATTCGGTAACTTATCCATGTTTAGATGTGTACGTACACTCAAATTACAAATTACATGAAAATTAGTTTACTAAAACTTATCGTAAAAATTGCTGTAATTTTACATTCTTGGTAGTTACCGCTAAGTAGGGTTGAAAACTACATTTTCAATTTTACATTTCATGTAAGTTTCAGTAACATGGATTTCACATAAATTCACACGTGATATGAGTACCAGCACTATGAAAACTCAGCTAGCATTATTAAAAAAGCAAGTACCCGACAGATTTTCACTAATCGACAGCGATTGACCAATTATATTACAAGATCAGGTGTAACGTGAAATCAAACCGCCATAACTCAAAATTTCGGTTATTTAACCATCTTCTGCGCATTAGTAAAAAAAAAATTCCTTGCAAAATTTTAGTGTAATATAAGTATCGTTATAATTATAAACTGATCTTAATCAATGAAAATCTATTGATCTGCAAAAAATAGCCAATCACAGAGAAAGCCCTGTAATGCTAAACCATATAAATTTGGTATTGTAACCTGATTGGATAACATTTAGTTTGCCCTACAGTAGAATTTGAGATACGATGAATGGTGAAGAAGCAGACTCTCATAACAGTAGTGATTTCGGAGATTTGGAATTTAACAGTGAAGTTAGTTATGGTAAGAACTATAATAAAGACAACATTTATCCGATAAAAATATTTCATTGTTTTCTTCATATATTTGTAATATATATTGAAATGTTCAATTTTTCCTTATCATTCTAGAATCAGCGCGTTCTTCTTCTTCAGATACTTCTCAAACTCATTTTTGGCATCAACAATTCATTAAAATTGATCTTAAAAGGATTAATCTCACCAATGGAAAGCAAATTCTTTCCAACGTTCAAAAACTTTCTTTAACTTTGCGATTCATTACGAATGAATTATGTATTACTTCAAACGCCACAATGAATGAAATAGTTATTCCATTAAATCAGCTTAAAAAGCTCAAATATCGCAAGAAAGGGAAATATCTATTAATTTTAAAAAGAATTTTGAAAGATTTGTATGTTAAATTTCATTAATTTATTAAGTATATCATCTTAACGTAGATTTGTTAATATAGCTTTCGTATATCAGAATTATAGTTATCCACAAGGTCTTTTAAATTATCGAACTCAATTACCTTCCGATCCAGCAGGCGGTGAACTAAATGGCATCGAGTCCTTGTTATTTGTGCCGGCTGATTGGGTTGACAATAATACTTTAATATTTTTTGGTGAAGGCGTCAAAAAATTGTGGTTTACCCAGGTGAATTGTTGAAACAATATTTATTGCTTTGTTGTATTATTTCATATAATAATTTTAATGACTGAAAAAGGTAAATGAAAATAACTTGACAAAACTGGATAATGGAATTAATAATACTAGTGATAATGACAAGGTAAAGTTTTTATAAAGTCCAAATAATTTTTGTTGCATAATTAAATTATAAATATCTGACATCGAAATCAGCTCCAGATTACCTGTAACTTTCTTTCCAAAAAATATATTATTAATGTGGCTATCGAAACTAAATTTAAAGATATACTTAAATGTAGTAAGTATATATTTTAATTAGTGGAGTGCCGTTTATTAGGTAATTTTTTTGGGAAGTGGAGTTTAGTGATCTATCACATCTATATATTATATGTGTATATAGTATGATTGATTGCTGATTTTATCACCTAAAAAAGAGGGGATCTGGACTTCTAATATAAAGAAATTACTTAATAAACGGTACACCCTTTATTATTTTATTTGGAGAAATTATATTTGATGATTTGTTTTTTAGTTCATGAAAGATATAAGGTTGATATTAATCCAAGTCGCGTGACATATAAAAATCTGTCAAATGATATGATTACTTTGATTGATGATGAAGATTGGAATGCGGTAAAATGGGAGGCAAAAATATCGCAGAATTATAATATTTCAATGTTTTTTTCTTAATGAATTTGAATTTTATCAAACATGGGCTTGTTTTTGGAATATGATTGATTCATTAAATTTAGATCCTGTTATTAGAATAGGAAGCATATAAAAAAGTGATTGCTTAAAATATATTAAATTGAAAAAGATATAATTGGATGAAATAATTCAAGAAAAAAATTTACTTAATTAGTAAGTAATTGTACATATATATAACTGTAGAAATTATTGCTAGCAACTATTCTCTCAAACCTTTTATCTAAATATAATATATTTTATCGTGACACAATAGATGAAGCTTGCAATTTGTTAGCAAGTGCCTTGCAATAATGGTTAGTGAAGGTCCTTGTATTAACATCATAATGGAAAGTATATATTATAGTCATGTAAATATATGAGTATCTTATCTTTTTTGATATTTTTATTACCATACAATGTTAATCTCTAAAAAAAATTATTAAGACTTTTCACTTAATAGCTAATGTCAGCTTCATAAAAAAGCATATAGAATTCCAATATATTTTAAACAATAGTGTGAAATTTAGATTATATTTTTTTGATTATATGACAATTGACGGAGTTTTGCCTATAAGAAGTAACAAGTAACACAATCAAGTGTTCTTCAAAAAAAGTGCTGGAATCTTTTGCGATATAGGTGAAACCACTAATAAATGTATTATTAATCAACTGATTTAGGATATGTGTCATCCATATCGCAAGAGATCCAAGTGCTACTCCTGGTGATAAAAAATATGCATTGAAAAAACCACCAAAGTTGATTCAAAATTTACCATAATACTTTTGGTAAAAGTAAAGTTAAATTATAGCCTTTTTCAAATTAGTGTAACTTTAGGTTTTATTTATTATATACCATGTATAATCTGGATTAAGAATTTAATATCAAAATACATACATGCCTGTGATTGGCTAAAAATTATGTCATCTAATTTTATATCTAATTGTTATTCAATTACTATTAATAAATGTTTTTAAACGTAAAACTAAAATTTCTTAATATTATTTTGGTCAGTTTGATGCTTAGAATCGATTTTAAATAATACTGGTCAGTAGATTTTTTACATACGTATCAAAATAAATAGAACATTATCGAATTACTTTCAAAGTTTATAAAAAATTTAGGAAAAAATTATTTTACTTAGTTAACCAACTGCAAAATTTAATAAGTTAATTAGATACACATACGTATTATATTAGAAAGTTAATGTGTCTTTAAAACTGTTATTTTTAAAGTGGTATATAATTTGTAAAATATATAGGCTGCCATCAATAGAAATTAGGCAGATTGACATTTTAAAAAAAATTAATATCTTAACTTTCACAGCTCATATCTTGATGAATTTTGAAACTATTTTAATGATTCAATAGTCAAAAGAAAACTTAGATATCAAGAACTCTTTTAAATAGTAAATAATTATACTAGCTTTAAAATTCATAAGATATAAGTTGTGAAATTAAGTATTAATTTTTTAAAATGTTAATCTGTTTGATTTTTAGTAACAGTTGCTTATATATTTAATAAAAATAAAAACAAATAAATTTAAAGAAAATTTTGTAATTATATTCTAAATAAAAAATATGATTTTAATTTTTTTTTGTTATTTAAATGTTTAAATAAAAATTTTTATAACTTTAATTAAATATAAATGTTAGTTTTGCAAATTATTTGTAATTAAAAACAAAATCACTAACTCTTTTTAACAATTATTTATATTAAATCTTTACTGCAATCAATTAATTATAACTTAATATTTTATTAAGTAAACTGCTTTTAAACACTTAAGTAAAGTTGGTTTTGATATAATTTTATACTTAGTAACCTAGTTTTATATTTTTGTACCTTTTATTTACAGAAATATACTTACTAAATACAAAAATATTTCAATCTTAATTATCTTAGGAACTACTAAGTAAATTGCTCTAGTACTTTATAACAAAAATAAAATGCTTGTTTATAGTTTTATTTGATATATAATTTATTTAAAACAACTCAAAATTGACTATTTTATTAACAAATTATTTTAAAACTCTTACAAAATTTTAATTGTTTATTTTTACAATTTTTTAGTTTTTTTAAAAAGGTTGTCACTAATCTGTCCTATTCAACTCACCTAAACAGAATTACTAATTATCAATATTATATTATCTAAATTAATTTTTATTAATTACAAATTTGTATTCATACAATTTTATACAATTTTTTGTTTAATGTTAATCTTGATCTACAAATAGAGTTACAAAGTATCGCATATTTTCTATACTACTTTTTTATCTGATACATCTTGTATTTGTTATATTTTCTTATTTGTCATACCTCTTATTTGTTATATTCTTTATTTGTTATATTTTCTTATTTATTATATCTCATTTTTAAATTTTCTCATATTCAAAATTTTATTATTTATTCTATTTTTATTTTCTTAATTTTAGATAATCTTTACTTTAATCACTAAAGATTTAGACTTCTATGATATCAATTATTACTATACTAAAGGGTGTGACAACCTAGTAAAGTGGTCAGGTTGTCAACCCTTCAAGTAGTAGATTGGGTGTTCAAATCCCATCGATGATGAAAAATTTGGATAATCATCTATGTAATATTCATATTATGGTAACTGTTACTAACAATTAGGTTAGAATACCTGTAATGGCAGTCACACTAGCATGACTGG